ATCTTTCACTATACGAAAGAGAAAACATTTGTAAGTATGTATGGTGAATTTCTAGATAATCCAACAATAAATATGGCAGTTAGAAGCCTGCGAAGGGTAAGATGTCGCCGGCTGAAGCGGCATCGGCCGACGCGGGAAACGCGGCAATCACAATTTTGTGTTTACACACTCATAACTCAAGTTGTTACCGGCCGATTTTCAAAATTCTTTGACCATATGATTGCCTGTACATTTCTCAGTCTTCTCACCGAATTTGACGCGAATCTAATATAATCAGCGGTAAGGAGCGCGATGTAAAGACGGAACCGTCCCGCCCGGCACAGTCTACAATTCAGGCGGCGCGTAACGGCTAGCGCCGGCCGCCGCGCCGCCGCGCCGCCGCGGCGGCAGGATGTTTGACTTTACACCGCTATTACTAGAAAAGTTGTGAACCGATTTTCTTACTTCTTGCACGAGAAGATCCGCAGTTCAATTCTGGACAGGTAGCCGAAATTTCACATTGATATTATGCTTGCGGCGCGAGTTATTGGCGAAAAACAGGAGGGGTGGGCGAAATCCGCCCCCCCCTCCCTTCCACTGCGCGTGTTAATTAATAGTGAAAACTGAAATAAAGCGGATACTGAACTGTGAACATCCAGTTTTTTCACTGGCCCCACACAAAACTCCGAATGCCCAAAGCCAGGGCTGCGGAGTCGGAGTCGGAGTCGGAGTCGGAGTCGGTCGGAGTCGACAGTTGTGACCGGAGTCGGATTCGGAGTCGGAGTCGATTTTAGAAACCCGAGCCGGAGTCGGAGTCGGAGTCACCGAAAATCTGTCGACTCCGCAGCCCTGCTAGGTCTGCGGAGTCGGAGTCGGGAGTTGGAGTCGGTCGGAGTCGACAATTCTGCCCGGAGTCGGAGTCGGAGTCGGAGCTGGTTTTTGAAAGCCGGAGTCGGAGTCGGAGTCGGAGTCGCCGAAAATCCATCGACTCCGCAGCCCTGCCCAAAGCAGATCTCTGATGACTGGCCTCTGGGTGTCATACCGTGCATTGGTCAATGTGGTCAATGAGTACGACCTCGGCGTTTACCATGTTACTTGCATTGGAAACTGTTGCGCTCGAAAAAAATCAGGGGTGTGACTTATTACGAGCGCTCAACAGTCAACTACCCGCAGGCGAATGGCTAGCCCTTCCGTCTCCGCTCGCTTGCGATTTGGCATTTATGTACATAGGTACAGTACAAAATAGCGGCAAACGACCACTGAAGGTATGAGTTGCGTCTCTTGCACACTTAAAATATCTCTAAATCGAATCTGAAAAGAAAAAAGAGCTATAAAGCGGAAATGGTTAGCACTTACACATATTCAAAAGGCACCGTTGGACAAACTGTAGGAGCGCATAGCTGCACTATCAGGTTATGGAAATTTTCCTCATGTTGAGGGCACAAATTATGGAAGGGCAAGAATACTACGTTTGCCCCTCCTCCCAAAGTTTCCTAGGGAACGATGTCTCCTCTGCCGCCCCGTATCTGTCGCCCCTGTAAGCGGTCACTGAAGGCCTGGGTTGCCCCGCTGCGTCACGTTGACGCTTATAATACCTCCAAAACTAGGTTGAAGAGAGGAAAACTTCAATTGAATGCGAACGCTTGTCATTTAACCCGCGCACCGACGGGGGTCTGCGCCAACTTCGCACCGACGGGGGGGGGGGCGGATGACCGCCCCCCCCTGAGATCTCGAGAACGAAGCAAGATGGCGACAAGCGGTAAACGGCATCGGATACGCACGGCCAAGATCTACAATTTTTACTAAGGTCATTTTCAGGTCAGGTCAAAGATGACGTCACAGGGGTCGAAAAAGTCAAAATGGCGGCGCTAGATATGGAGAGAGTTTTTCTCGAATAACTTTCGAATTAGTCAAGATAGGAACAAACTAACGGCATCATCGTGATCCTCTCGTCAATCCGCATCGAATGATATATATGTTGACCTCGAAAGGTCAAGGTCAAAGGTTGACCTCAGGTCACGTGACCTCGAGGTCATCATGTATATCATTCGATGCGTCTTGACGAGCTGAACACAATGAGACCATCCACGCGTCTGTATCTTGTTCCTGTACGGAGTTATTGGCCAAAAACCTTTGGTGACCTTTGATGACGTCACATGACCTCACAGCTGCCCAACAGCAAAACAGACCTCAAGGTAGTGAAGGTTGATCGTATATGAAGTCATGTATGGTATATGGGGCCATTCCGACCCGTTTTAGTGGTAAAAACAGGGAGTTGATTTTTCCACCATTGACTTATAATGGGGAGGTCGCGAAATTGACCTGACCTTAGGTCACCGATATCAAAATTCCGAGATATACAAATTGTAGCTACTAATGACCTAATAATATCCTGCGACTTTCAAAGGCTTCCGATATCTATGTACTGCAGCTCTGGCACGGTGACAAAGTTGCAAAAAAGTGACTTGAGGTTGGGTCATTCAAAGTGACCTGGTGACCTGACCTTAAAAGGTAGGAGGTTCAAACTTGCACACCATGTGTAAAATTGATGAGGTTATAGTCATACCAAATTTCGCGGCGCTACGCGCCGCGGTTTTCCCGCTATTCGCGAAAAACCTCAGGGGGGGCGGATATCCGCCCCCCCCCCCGTCGGTGCGCGGGTTAACCCGCGCCCCGCTGGGGGGGGGGCAGAATCTGCCCCCCCCCTCCCGTTTTTCGCCAATAACTTCTAAACGCGTTACGCCAGTGACGTCAAACTTTCAGTACCTTATCATACATCAATTTGACACGTTCCCTGAAAATTTGAGCGAAATCCGTCGAAAAATTTTTGAGAAATTGACGTTTTAGTGACGTCATGTTCGCCATTTTCGCCTCAAAAACGGCAAAATTTCAAACGCCGCTAACATCTTCATTTTTAAAGGAATCAAGACGTAACAAAAAAGGTTATACGTGATTCTACTTTGTCTATCAAATGGCTATCTCGGTTTTTTGAAAATTTTGGATTTTGGCCAAAATTTTTCCAAAAAACTGACTTTTTTGGGAAAATATTTATAAAATCCAAAATTTTGAGTTTATCGAAAAAACCGGAATATATGTCAAAGACGAGGTCTATGTGCACCTACATACCAATTTTTAGAAGAATCGGTTCAAAAATGTGGGAGTTATTCAAAATTTTATGACGTCACGACACACAAAATTTTTGAAAAATGATTTTTTTGGAAGTTCTAGACCTCGTGCGGAAACGAAAATAGCACCATTCGATTCGCCGTGAAAAACTGCATCGGATAGACACCTTTTTAGGCCTTAACAACCAACTTCAAAATTTGACCTCACTTGACCTGACCTTGACCTGACCTCGACCCGAAATTCATCCAGAGGTGGTCCATATCACTTATTGAGTGTGCCTATTGAATTCCATGAGTAAAATGACCCATAAAACATGTGTCGCACATGCCCTTTTCTATATTTTGTTTTTGGTGACCTGACCTGACCTGACCTGACCTTGACCTTGACCTTTGAATGACATTGTGTGCAACGAATATTGTCTTGGTAGTCTAAGAACACGTTTTGGGCAATCAGTCTCAGTCCATTCTTCGGCAACTACGGTGCAAGGCCGATACTGTAGAAACTTGCATTTTGTACCCTTGACCTGACCTTGACCTGACCTCTGACCTACTTAAGCAAAAAAAATTTGGGCTCTTAAGATCCGCCTTGTTGAGAGCTTTCGATTGCCGTTTTCCCCGTCTTTCTACGACCATCGGTTCGGAAGTTAGACAGGGGGGGGGGCAGAATCTGCCCCCCCCCCCCCAGCAGGGCGCGTATGGCTGAATAGCCCAGCGGGGCGCGGGTTAAGAAAGGCATTGGCAACGTTTGATAAGGTATAGCTCATCTGGTTACATCTTCAGATGATCGAACAGAATAATCAGGTATATGGTTTCTTGTCTAAGTTATGTCACAAATTATGGGGGGGGCAAAAAGATACTTTTGCCCCCCCACGAGTTTGCCAGGGGGGGCAGCTGCCCCCCCTGCCCCCCCGAATCCGCCGCCCCTGCCTATCATTAGAATCGAGCGCAGTCGTACTTTTAGCCAGAAAATAAATGTTCGGGTAATTCTAGGACACCCTGTAGGCCTTAAAAACACCGGCCAAATTGCTCCATCCCACCGGCCAAATAACCCTGCTAGCGGGGCAATTTGGCCGCTTTGCAGACGCTTGTAAAAGTTAAAACATCAAAATTCAGGGAGACGTAGTTGCCCTATCATTTTCAGTTTACTCTGCAAGAAAGTAAAATGAATGCTACACTTGCCACCGTTGAGAGAGTGCAGAAACATGTCGCCAATTTCGAGCTACAGCGCTTCCTAAAAAACGGCCAAATTACCCCATCCTCCCCTACGAAAGTGTCGTGTGATGCATGTTTTATTGTCAATTTTACATGACCAATGCAATTATGTGGTTCAGTCAACATTTAGGGCCAGTGAAAGTTATGTTCTGGTGAAGGTCAAATCAAGATCAGGTCAAATTAGGTCAAATTTCAATTTTCAACCTTGATATTTTTGCATAAAATGGGTAACGTTTCGATGCAGTTCGTCACTAAAAGTCTAATATTGGTCTTTGTTTTGCGCTACGTAGTCTAGAATTGCTAAAAATTGAGTTCGAAAATTTGACGTCATCAATTTTGAAGTTTTTTTTTCGCTATAACTTTGTCAAGAGAGGAGTTAGGGGAAGCCGGGGTAACCCCGGGCGCGGGGGAAGCCCGGCCACCCCGTTTCCGGCTAAATTATTCATAATAAAATGCTTATAAAGTGTTTGTCCTTTCAGCGTGGCAGCTGAGGTAACGCCAGCGTAAGAGTTAACGCTAACAAAAATTGTATATTTGTTCGCCCTAGCCCGGCGCAGGTGGCACAACTAGCTAGTAGCTACGGCTTTTTAAACGTTGGGATAGGTTCAGTTTGATGTTTTAATATTCTTTTTAGTAATATTGTGTTCATTCTGTTGGCAATGTACCTACTTACGCAAAGGCATATGCAGTTCCATGTGATTTATTCAAAATCAGGGTTACAAAGAGCTGAAAGAATCTCTCTACTCTCGTCCATACTGAGGACACAAGTCGCTTGGCTCACACCGCCATTACAAAAATTATCAAACTAGCGCGTGATATGACCGAAACATGAGGCTCCATGGACCACGGGATGTCCCTTTCATTCGCCATGTGTTCACTGTGTGCCGCCCAGCACCAGCCGGCGCCCTGTCACAGAGTGAGAGCTACCCATTCTAAAAACTGATCACTGCAGCAAGCGCTTGTGGTTCATGGCGACGTTAAAGCATATTGCTAGTCACCAACTGCAAAATAATCTCACTGTATACGGCAGAGTTTTCAAACCGCCATAGATCATTTCCCCTGCTTGGGGTGTATCGATAATCTCAAGCGTTCCAGAAAGTTGTGACATTGTTCCACAGCACGTCAAGCAAAGACGTCAGCATCTCCTGTCTGACGATTCGCGCCCTCACACGCTAAATATGGCACGCACACGCGCACACCGCCCGTGTACAAATCACGGCCACTGCACGACACGGCTGATGCCGCAGCAGGCTGGTTCTCACGGGTCCGACGAGTCAGCGAACACAGCGAGTGTCGGCCCTCGTCTACAGCGGGCAGCACGGCGCAGCCGGCTCCACCGACCGCGGTCCGCGCAGAGATACCACCACCGGCCCTGGGAGACTCCGACACCGGCCCTGTTAGACTCCGACACCGGCCCTGGGAGACTCCGACACCGGCCCTGGGAGACTCAGACACCGGCCCTGGGAGACTCCGATACCGGGCCCGTGAGACTCCGACACCGGCCCTGGGAGACTCCGACACCGGCCCTGGGAGACTCCGACACCGGCCCGTCAGACTCCAACACCGGCCCTGTCAGACTCCGACACCGGCCCTGGGAGACTCCGACACCGCACTGCCCATCCCACCCACGGCCGCCGGTCCCGACAACACGTCAGCAGCGTCACTCCCTGACATCACACTGACGTCATAGTGATGTCACACTGACGTCCCACTGACGTCCGGCACGTGATGCAGTCGCGCCCGAGTCCGAGACAGCATTCACACGGCGCCGAGATGTCGAACAGAATCGCAAGTCCGTGTTCATTGATAGTTGCCAAAGGTCCTGGCTGACATCAGCCATTGGATGGTGCTAGCGGTCGTTGGGTACAGTTTAGCCATCACCGGATGGTGTTCTTGGTCTTTCACAATCCACTGCTCAGTAATCTGCCACTGTCTATCACTCGGGATGCGGCCGCTAAATGTAGAGCGGGGTCTCCTGTCCGGTTAGTAACCGGAACAGTGACGTGGGCATGGTCTTCATCAGAATCTGAAACAGAGCCAGGCGTCACTGTCACTGTCGTGGTCACGCACACCTATACGCCACTACAGCTGTCGTACACACGAGTGGCGAATGAAGGCGATGAATGAGACATGTGTTCGTGCACAATCAAGCGCTAGTTAAAAAAAAAAAACGAGATATGTCCCAGTCAAAAGTTGACGTGTTAACTGGTTATCTGAAAATGCGAGATAAAATAGGACTTAAATGCACGGCTTGTTTATCATTTACGGGGTCACTCTTAAAAGCGAGCGACAAGCAAGTTCATTCCATATAAAGGGGAAAAATGTCAGCGTGAGCGGCCCGACCCGGCCCGACCTCTGCACCCCCCCCCCCCTCCGCACCCCCCACCCACATACACACTCACACAGGCTCCCACGTGGTCACAGGCTCGCAGGTATCCCGATCCGCACATTCCAGGGATCGGATAACGCCCCCCCCCCCGCCCCCCGCCACATGCGGCAGCGCAGACCCCTGCCAGTTCGTAATCCTAGCGTCCCTTCCACGCCTCCTTCTTAATCCTGCCGGTCCTTTCACATCTGACATCTGACAGGCAGACCTCCCACTCTCGGTTTATTCCTACCCCTTTCACCACCGGCGTACCACCATGCCTCCACATGTCCGTCCGATCGCTGGCATCTCTCTCTCTCTCTCTCTCTCTCTCTCTCTCTCTCTCTCTCTCTCTCTCTCTCTCTCTCTCTCTCTCCTCTCACCTCTCCGACAGAGGTGGCCAGCAGGCTGACGATGCGCTCGTGCGGCACGGCCACCACGCTCTGGCTGTTGATCTCGATGATGCGGTGTCCGACGCGCACGCCGCCGCGCTCGGCGATGCCGCCGCGCAGCAGGCTGCAGATGACGCCGTTCTGCACGCTGAAGCCCAGCTGGTACTTGGTGTCGGGCCGCCGGATGCGCACCTCCACCACCGGCGGGCACGGCACCACCGTCAGCTTCACCACGGTGGCCTGGCGGGCGTTCTTGACGTAGGTCTGGCAGCTGGCCAGCGGCAGGCCCACCAGGCTGATGCCGTTGAGCGCGATGATCTGGTCTCCGATGTTGAGCTGGCCGCAGCGGGCGGCGGCGCCGGCCGGCGCCAGGTTAGCGATCACCACGGTGGGCACCAGCGAGCCCCAGCCGGACTCCACAATCACCACGCCCAGGATCTCGCCCTTCTGCTTGGGCACCACCACCTGGGGGGAGGGGGAGGGCAGGTCACTAACCGAGGGTGGGTGGACAGGGGAGCGTGCTGAGAGGTCACAGCAGACTAAACCGCTAGAATCGCCTTAAAATAGATAAAACAAAGGCACTACATAACTACTACAACAACTACAAAGTGTTGCTTTTAGTATCAACCGTTACCGTTTTAGTGCAAAGTTACATTATTCCGCGCAACCGAAACGCAAATAAATGCAGTGCGAGCTATTCTGAGTCCTGACTACCTCTAACGTGTACACTGCTTATACATGGGCACTGGGGCACATATTTATGCAAACGGGCCGCTACTCTGCTGTTCTAACTAACTGAGGCCTCAGTGTCACGATAAAAAAAAGATTCCGCGCCGTCTGGCACTGCTTATGCTCAGACCTCCAAAAGACCGTTGTAATTGGTCGAGTTAAAGCGCAACTTTTCTATCCCGCCCGTCAATCCGGGCTAGATCAGGTGGCTAGTGCTGCGCCCAGCCCGCTCCGCTGCTTAGTCAATCTTTTCTTCGGAGCTCGTCTGTCCAGTTAGTTGCTATAGGAGCGGACGGAGCACACAACAATCCACGGCCTGAAAGGTGCAATCTGACGGGCACAGCGCGGCGTGCCGACTCTATGTACTGCACAACACAACACACCCCGTCAATAGCCGTTTTCACGACAGCCATCTGGTACTTACACATCTGGTGCACATTTGGTGCAGATTAGGTGCAAATTTGGTCAAATCAGGTGCACTCGCCGGATAGCCCGTCGTGAAAACGGCCATTATTTGGCTATTCTAGACACTCAATGTGTGCATGGTGACAACACTAGGTACTAGGCTCACTCACAGGCGGCAAATGACCGAACTCGTTATAAATAAACTCCAACGTAAAGTTATTCCGAGAGGAAATTATTGGCTTGGCCTGATTCGAGCAAAGCGATTAGGCAACCTTCTGGGTTGGTCGAACAAGAGAATGCTCGATTAACACGGAAATTTCAATTAAATCAATAAGCGACCGTTTTGTTTCGCTATCAGAGAAGCAGAGTATCTGGTCGTTTGCCGCCCGTGCAGAGCCGGGGGAGGTGCGTACTGATTTGTCGAGGCGCACCTCCTTCTGCAGCTCCTTCTTAGCGAACATCTTCAGCTCCTCGCCGAAAATCTCCTGCGAGTTCAGCACCTCCTGGTAGTCCATCTCCTTGACGAAGCCGTGGTCGTCGATGCCGTTGGCCTTGAGGAACTCCATGTAGGCCACCTGGAAGGCCTGGCCGATGGACTGCGCGATAAACTGAGCCTGGAACACGCCGAGCGGCGGGGGACGCCCGGTCAGCACCCGACACGCCGAGTGGCGGGGGACGGACGGTCAGCAATCGACCTTCGCTGGTTGTGCAAACTGCCTGTTTATGGCTGACTGGTATTATTTAGCTTTCACACTCATCATTGTCGACAAAAATATACTTTACCGAGTCAGTGACGTTATCTTAAAGTGATAAGAGTCAGTGACGTTATTTTAAAGTGATATTACGGTCACTGACCCTAGCCCCGTGACGACTCAGATAAGAGAAGAGTCCCCCCCCCCCCGAGCTCTGCCCTGTGGCTCAGTCTGACCTCGTCACTCTCGAACACGTGGCAGATCATCTTGGGCTGCTGCTGGAGGTGCGCCAGCCCGTCGGCGGCCGGTGGCTCTCGGCGACGCGCCATCAGTACTACCAGCTCGCCGATGTCGGCGATGTAGGAAATGGTGCGCAGCGCGTGGTCCATCATTATCTCCTATGGGAGGTAGAGACGGGGATATTTGTTGCTTAGGCTACATCCGATCGTATTGAATTGTGGGTACTGCATTGTGCTGTTCGGTGAGATAATTGTTATCTGCACAGTGCACGGTTATTAAATTAATTGTCACAATTATTAAAACACAAGACGGGTATTAACAGCACAGTGAATAAATACATCCCTAGACAAAAAATAATTGACCGTGAATATTTTAACGTAAACACGTCGGTGGATACCAAAATATACAGAGGGAGCAACATAAGGGCGCGGTTGGAAACAAGAAAGCGCAGTTAGTTTACAAACTTGTAAAATCCAAAACAACAATTTACTTTAATGCGCAGTTTATTACATACTTTGAAATATTTTGGAATAAAACTAAATTAAATTAGAAAGAGATTTAGCTGACTCCCGGGTGATTTATTAAATGCGTGTTTTTGATTAATTCAACACTGTGTTAAGCTTCGAAAAGGCAACTTTTGAAGCAATTTCCAGAAATATTTGACAAAGAGGCTGCCTTTTCCACTATATTTGCCGAAGACGGTTCACATGTTGTCCATCATTCGACTAAACACTGCCTTTTCGATAATTGGTCGTCCAAACTACCCATCTTCGTCCCTCGAAGCAAGATAACGTTCTACGAAAATACATCTACAAACCAAATCTGTTCAGTGTCATCGGACCCCCAAAATAGGCCAAGTGC